AAAATCGTTATCGAAGATGAAGGAAAGAACCGACCTTGTCCTCCTCTACATATATGTTCTATAGTTGTTTGTTAGACGACTAAAATTAACTTAACCCGTCTGCTTTTGAACTATCGAACTCAATGATCGATCCGGAAACCAGGAATGAACCGCAAACATTCCAAACGAGCGATACATCGAAACAGGAAGATGTTGCTGCAGCTGCTGATGATGATGGTGATGATGAAGACGACGACGATGTTCTAATTAACAGTCAATAAAATTAAAGTGCCAGTCGGAAGCAGCACGTTTCTAAAATGTCTCGTCGAAGTTGTGTATCACTCGAACAATCCCCCTTATTCTGCGAGTCACGTGACTCTCTCTCAAAGGTGAGGTGACAATTGTCACCTCGTGTGAGGTGACTCTCCATTTGATTTACATGGAGAGTCACCTCACACGAGGTGACAATTGTCACCTCACTGGTGACAGAGAGTCACGTGACTCGCAGAATAAGGGGGAATAACCATAGAGGTAACTCTAAGACTAGAAGGTCCCGAAATAACGTGCTCAACTTTTTGGCTCAGCTCTGGTACTCTCTTCGGTCCCAAGCTAATCGATTCACCCCTCGAAACATAGGAAAAACCAATAACCCCTCATTTTATCTGTCAAACTTTCATAGCGAATCAAAACAAACATTGCGTAGTACTAGAATTTCGACTAGAATGGGGTACGTTAATCGTTTGCTTGGGACCAATAGGCTAGTCAAGTAGTGAGCCAATTTAAAATCGTTAGTTTCGTATTGATTGTTGGAATAACTCCGCAGGTGAAAGACGTCAAATTTATTTCGATTTTGAACCCGGTCTCGAACCTGCCGTTTCCGTGTCGATACCGATCGGTCGTTAGTCTAAAGCTAGCCTATAAGTTTCTATCCCACAGCTCGTTCTCTACCAGGAGAGCGGGAAGGACCACGACGGGGAGAAACCACATTCGGACCGACCACTGATACCCATGTTCGCCATTGCCACTCTGATGTTGCTGCTGCCGGTTATTTTGCTAATAAATCAAGCTGAACAATGCATTAGGTCCTAAGTAACATTGATCGATTCTCTTCGTCGACTTTCTCTTTCGTAAATAACTTTATCACATAACCGTTTATTGATGTGTTTGTCGTATTAGATGCTAGACAAAAGCTTCTTTTATCGATCTGTGTGCTGAAAATACCGGGGAATGTCTTTACATGACCGTGGTGATGCAAAGAAAAATTCAACGTAGAGAATCTGTCAATGTTACGCAATGTTCAGCTTGAAATCACTAATTCAATTACATAAACCCACTTCATCTCAATGAGGTACAGAGAGAGGTGAAGCAGATCGTGAAACATGGTTGTTTAGTAATCCAAAAAATCAACGTAAACGCAATTAGTGACGTCACTAATTGCATGTATCGTACAGGGGTTTTACTCACACAACTTATCCGACTGCTTCACCTCGGTAATCCAGCTCATTGACTTCATCTGGCCCGTTTCAATCGGATGGTGGGGGAATGGGGGTTGAATGCGAGAGGCTCCCAAACATACAAACTTTGCTCTTTCATTATCACGACGTTCGTATGCATAATCTAGTGTGACGTAACGTTGGATCATGCGTAAGAACACCGTGAGAACGAAGGAGTCGACTACATTCTTTCTGCCGCACCTATAGTACCGCACACGGTTCCCGCGCTGACTGTTCCTTAATTTCTCACTCTAATCAAAATTTCCTTCGATGAGTGAGAAAACAGCACCCCGTCAACGCGAGTGAGAACGCGAGCTGCCAGATCATTGCACACAAAACCAACTTGAATTAATTCAAATCAAAAATACTAGCGAACCTGGCGGTAAGCGGCGGAAAGTGGTCTAAAATTCTATTGGAAGATTGCCGTAAAAGCTCAACGCAGATGTCGCCACTGCATGATGATGATAATGTTGACAGACTGCATATAAAATTCGTGAAAATTAGCGTTAAATCATAATTTTCATCAAGCCTGTGTAAAATCCTTACAATATAACATTTGAATTGAAGAAGAAAACGTTTTTACGATCAGACTGATGTGCATCTTTGACTTTTCCAGTTGAACTTTTATAAGATATATTAATTTCATTTCGCGGCTCCATCAATGCTGCATCGTAAATATGATGTAAACAGGAGTAAATTGCTCAATTACTCAAAATAAAGATGATTTGTCATCTTGTTATCACTTTGAATACCATCTAGCACCATTTTATAGTATGGTACGTGTTGAGTAAAGCAAGTTCCGGTGCGTTTTCCTTCGAAAATTGTGAGTATCAATATGTTTGCTTAAAAACGGCCAAAATGAACATTTATTGAATATTGGCGTCCTATACAACCAATTCTCTATTATCACCAGCATGATACAACCTTTCCTAAGTAAATTCACTTAATTTCCACTTTCATCTTAGTGGAAATCGCACATATTCGCCTTTTTTCGAAAAATGCAGCTGCGCAGGAGGTAACCTCTCCCTGTGGGTGCAAACTTGTTATGGATAATTTGCCATGAAAACATCTCCGATCCGTACCGAAATAATAACAAATAGTTTTCAAACACGTTTTCTTACACGATTCAAGCAAATGTTTCCACGGGAAATTATTAGTTTTTCTTTATGGACCGATTTGCCCCAAAAAGCATCTGTTTTACTTGGAAAATTTGGAAACTATCCTCCTTCTAGTAGTTCTCACTTCGAAATGTAGGTGGCGAAAGCTTGGAAAAGTTTCACTGCAAGACGCCAATTACAGAGAACCACCTTATTTTAATTAATTTCTTCGGAGAAAGTCGTCTGGTAACTTCGTTTGTGGTCAAAAAGGTTCAGCCGATTAACACTGAGTTCATTCGTGACGTCACGCTGCAGTACCTAATTCAACGACTCTGGCCCAGACCTTATATAAATGTCATTGCATACGATTCAGATACACACAGAAAAACAAAACTACCCACCGCTTGGGTTTTTTAAACTCAAATTTGAGTTATTTGACCTCTGCCCGTTTCATTTCCTCTCGCTATTGTTGTCAAAAATAGAACGAAAGATTCGACTCAACCGTCTAGTTCCGTACGAGAAGCCAAAATTGAGTAATATGCGATATACCCAAATTTGAGTTAATTGAACTTAATTTTGGGTAGAAAAAATTTAAAATAACTTAGCGATGGGTAATTTTTTTTGCCGTGCTTAAATGCAAACTACTTTGAGCCGGTTTACCCAAATTTGGCTTATCGTACGGAACATGGGAGATGAGTGAAAAGAACTTAATTTTGGGTTGTTTTGAATTTCTGTGCAGATTAGTTTTTCGTTGTTAGTTGAGGTTGATACGTGCGTATACTTAAAAAATGGACCCCAGCCAATTCCAAACCTTCCTGGAGCATCAAACCAAACTTTTCCAACAGCTGATGCAATCGATGCAACAGCAACAGCCACTCCCGTTCCTGCTGCCAAGGCCGCTCTCCTTCGAAGGTAACATGGAGGAAAACTTTGACTTTTTCGTCCAGAGCTGGACAGATTATTCCAAGGCGATCGGAATGGATCGCTGGCCATCGGGGTGGCGCGCCATAAGTGTAAGCTTGCTCTTGGCTGTCATCGGTGTACCTGTTAAGAACTACAACCTCTCAGCGAACGAACTGGAATCCCCAGAAACCGCTCTTCGTGCCATCAAGGCCAAAGTGGTTACCAACCGGAACGTAATTGCTCGTGCCATCAAGGCCAAGGTGGTTACCAACCGGAACGTAATTGCTGACTATTCGGCCTTTTTCACAGCGAAGCAGGCTTCCCAGGAGTCAATTGACGATTATGCCGCTCGGCTCAAGCGGTTGGCGCAGGTATCGAAACTAGGGACTCTCGAATCGGACCTTATAACTTACAAGATTGTGACTACCAATAAATGGCAACATCTGCAGACGAAAATGCGAAAGAATGCCAATATAACCTTGGAGAAAGCGTTGGATCTGTGCCGGGCTGAAGAGATTCCTACCATTGCTACCGATCGGCCGCAGCAATTGGACATAATTGTTGTACAAGGGTCCAATTTCAACAAGCAACACCAAAAGATGGATGTACCCGGCAAATCAGGCCATATGGCTCAGCGCTGTCAGCGCAAATCAGGCCATATACCGGTGGCTGACAAGAACGAAAATAGGAACATGTCGATTTATTCGCCATCGTTTGATCCATTAAAACATTATTTGTTCAAGGCAGACAGCACATTCACGGATCTATACGAGTGGATTTCCTGCCTCGTTAGTTCCGAGCACGAAACTCCAAGCGAGTTCATCCAAACTCTCACTACAGCCTTAATGAAGTACAAAACGAAGCCAATCGACACAGCATGTATAGACGAATGTGTGAATCTGATCTTTGAGAAGGCAGTCGCTGAACCGAGCTGTTCTGAAGGTTACATCAATTTAACAAAACAGTTGTCAATGTCAATGTACGTTGGTTCAAGCTTCCGGAGTGTCACGTCCGGCCTAAAGATGCGGTGTCAGGACGAGTTCGAATCAGACATCCATCCGGCCAACAGTGAACCCAACATACTGAAGGCAGAACTCGACGAAGAAGGACACAAGATGCAGCGGAGAGCCGTCCGAGTTGTTCAGTTCATTGGAGAACTGTATAATCACGCCATGTTGACCAGCGGCATTATGCGCTCCTGTATGGAGCAGTTAATCCAAAAGAAGGACAAAGAAGAGGCATTGGAACGCTTGTGCAAGCTTCTGACCACGATCGGGTTCAAAATGGAAAAGGATAACGAGCAAGACTTGACGGAATATTTAAATAAAATGGAATGGAATAGGGAGCAGAACCAAATGATGAGTAGTAAGGTTCGGTTCATGATTCAAGAGGTAATCGATTTGCGTTATAAGGGATGGAAAGTCGAGTAAAATGTACAACAATCTGACGTATTATAAGGGACAGTTCTTTCCAGATGATTCCAAATATAGTAACACTCCTGTACAATTTGTAATTTTGTTCACACTTTATTGCTGCGCATACAATCGGCTCGCTCACACGACTTAACTTCCCACAATCTCCCCGTCGTTGGGTTCTTTCTTTTCCGCCCAATCCATATCGTACCCAAACTGGTTGTGCTTACTGCTCATATGATACACAACGCTCTGCTGGTGCTTGAACTCTTGACCACAAATGTGGCACGGATAGACCTTGGGCTTGCTCGTGTCCGATTTGCATTTGTGCACAAAGGTGTACTTTTTACCGCACAGTCCGCAATCAAACAGCTTCCCCGTGTTGTGCAGCTTCACGTGCAGCTGGTAGCTCTTGGTCGACCGGTAGATTTTCCCACAATATTGGCACTTGAGCTCCGGTAGGACTCCCACCTCCCGACCCCGGTATATCGTGACCTGGTTGTGCTGGTTGCGTAGATGCAGGGTCAGACTGTACGACTGGGTGAATCCACGGTCGCAGATGTCGCACACGTATGGTGTTTCGCGCGTGTGGATCCGTATGTGGATCTTGAGCGTTATCGACTGGGTGAATGACTTCGGACAGTAGGGACAGGGATACGGACGCTCGCCTGGAGATTGAATCGTACTATATTTCCATGCGAATTACGGTAGAATAACTCACCTGTATGAGTCCGTAGATGCAGTTTGAGTTTGGAATTTTCGCAGAATCCTTTCCCGCAGTGTTCACATTTGAATGGTTTCTCTCCTGAAATTATCGTTTGGTTTAAGTCAACAAATAGAAATCCACACATTAAAAGAACATTACCTGTGTGCCATCGAATGTGCGTCGTCATGAGACATTTATCCGCGAATCCCTTGTTGCAAAACGGGCATCTATGCCGGATGGGGAAGCAACGATCCTTCCTAGACTTTTCAACTGGTGCAGTTCCTTTTTTCCGTCTACCGCGTTTCCCTATCCGAACCGGTTCCACAAATCCACCCAGAATCCGTTGTATATCGACATTTTCCTCCACAGTCAACCGATCGTCCAAACCCTTAAACACCAGCACCTGTCCGAACTCGTCATCGACCCTCATTTCTGTTTCCGGTATCAGCTGAAGAAGCTCCTCTTCATCCACCTCATCGTCGCCAATTGTTGGCTGTAAACATTCAGAATTCACATCCGGTTCCACTTTGACATTTACGACTTCGGCACTGGGCATAATCTGGAAGCAACTTTCCGGAATTTGATGCGAGGAAATGATTCTTCGGCGACATTTGTCACAGCTTTGATACCCCTGACTGCCTGGGGGCGAAGACGGGGCTTTCAGCTCCAACAGAACCGGCTTCAGGAGCTGCTCGTATTCCTCCGTGATGGTCAGGATGTGTCGGAACGGTCCGGTACACTGGTTCATGCAAAAACTACACGAGTCAGGCCTTTTAACGGAACGAAAAATTGAGTTAGCCATGATAACGAGCTATAATTTGTTGATCAATATCGAGGCGAGAAAGCACAGTTTGCCATGACTACCGACGAACCAATGAAAAACTCAACTGAGTAAAAGTAGGCTGTGTCTGCACTAAATCTGTCATGGCGTACACAGCCACATAAAAAAGAAAATTGCCATCTAGTGAGCTTTGACAACGAGTTTCTACTTACGAGCTGATACTACCGATTGCAGTCATTGGTTTATCTTACTGGAAAGCTTTTCACATAAATCACCGTTTGGGAAGTTTGCTTTTGAGATGAAAAGTACGTCTGTGTTATTTGGTAAGTAAATACCTAATTAGATGAAACTAAAAATTAGAATAAACTCCGTTTCCTGTCTCGGCTGACTGAAACTACTTCCTATGTTTTTGTTGTTGTTTGGTGATCCGAGATTCTGCTTGTTTATGTTGACATCTCTGTTGACGTTGACAAAATGAAAATTATATTTTCGACTGTGAATTGGCGTTGACGGCACCGCCGAAAAATCGTCTTTTCTAGCAAAGATTGACAGTTTCTTATGGGAACTTTCAGTGGAGTAAGAGAATAATAAGAAGTCCGCCATGCTTCACAAACAGTCTGACGTTTGCTTACGGATTTTTTTCCATTGGAGTAAAGAGCTACAGAGTCACCGCCATCGCCAATTGGCGTTGACGAGAGCTCTGTAACTCTTTACTCCTATGGAGAAATCTCATATGTAACTGTCAGTCTATGTGTGAAATATGGCGGACTTTTTCTTATTCTTTCACTCCAACGCAAAACCCCATAAGGAACTGTCAAAATGTATGTGAAGAAACGTCACTTCGGGACTGGTGTCAAGGCGAATGTGCACTGATAAATTGAACTATTCCCATTTTGCTTGAAATTTAATCAATTTGACATTAAACTCAGTTTAATCATATCGAATGATTAAAAAATAAGCATCTGATATTAATCCCAGTTTAATCATGGTTGATTAGATTGTAGATTATCTTTTTTTGAATAAATTTTAATCATTTTAGATTCTATTTTAATAATTTTTGATTGAATTTTAATCTTTTTTGATTATACATCAGTATTCAAAAATAATTAAATTTAATACTGGAAAGATTATTTCGATTTTAATCATGCATGACTATTGCCGAAGTAATCATGGCTCGGACTCAATAAGGTGAAGCGGGAAACTGCATACTTTTAAAGCTTTTATGATTTAATTTATCTTTGAGTGTGGGTGTGTGCGTAAAACGATTGATAACACTGAAAAAAAAATACGATGAAAAGTATAATGCGAATCAGCCCCGTGGAGAATAGAAGAACTATGAAAGTGATGATTTCAAAGTTTTCCACGAGGAGGACACGCGCTATTTCAAAACTACCCAAATTTGGGTAGAATCCACCCAGATCGATCAAAACTGAAAAATGGGTAAACTGTATTGGCAAATCAAAGTTGGCACTCGTGGAGAATAGAAGAACTATGAAAGTGATGATGGTTTCAAAATTTTCCACGGGGAGGTATACGAATGCAATCTTAAAATGCTTTTATCTTGCAAATAGAGCATTTTTTTTAAATCTGCTTTCTGCTACAGTGGTAGAAAAGCTGAAATCTATGTCTACACATAAAAATCTGAAAAGAAATTATTTTTTCTATTCTATATGTCTTTTCAGTAGTCCTTTAGTTTTCTACTAACGTAACATTAACCAGATTTAAATCAAATGCTCGATTTGCAAAATAAAAGCATTTAAAGATTGCACTCGTATACCTCACCGTGTAAAATTTTGAAACCATCATCACTCTCATAGTTCTTCTATTCTCCACGAGTGCCAACTTTGATTTGCCAATACAGTTTACCCATTTTTCAGTTTTGATCGATCTGGGTGGATTCTACCCAAATTTGGGTAGTTTTGAAATAGCGCAAATCAAAGTTGGCACTCGTGGAGAATAGAAGAACTATGAGAGTGATGATGGTTTCAAAATTTTACACGGTGAGGTATACGAGTGCAATCTTAAAATGCTTTTATTTTGCAAATGGAGCATTTTATTTAAATCTGGTTGATGCTATGTTAGTAGAAAACATAAGGACTACTCAATAGACAAATAATACAGAAAAATTAATTTTTTTTCAGATTTTTAGGTGTACACATAGATTTGAGCTTTTCTACCACTGTAGCAGCAACCAGATTTAAATAAAATGTTCCATTTGCAAAATAAAAGCATTTTAAGATTGCATTCGTATACTTCCCCGTGGAAAATTTTGAAACCATCATCACTGTTATAGTTCTTCTATTCTCCACGAGTGCCAACTTTGATTTGCCAATTGGGAGTGACAAGTTGACAAGTGAACAACATTGACATCACTCCCAACACAGTTTACCCATTTTTGGGTAGGTTCAGTTTTGACGGATCTGGGTGGATTTTATCCAAATTTGGGTAGTTTTGAAATAGCGTGTATTCGCCTTTTTATTAGAAACTAGGCGATCGATTCAACCTCTGGTGGTGAATAGGAGACATAGGAAGCGGTACACTTTTTCACTTTTATCTGAGATGCTTGAAAACTTAATTGGCAAATCAAAGTTGGCACTTGTGGAGAATAGAAGAACTATGAAAGTGATGATGGTTTCAAAAATTTCCTCGGGGAGGTATACGAGTGCAATCTTAAAATGCTTTTATTTTGCAAATGGAGCATTTTATTTAAATCTGGTTTCTGCTACAGTGGTAGAAAAGCTGAAATCTATGTCTACACACTTAGAAAATAATACCGAACTCGGTTTAATTTTCTACCGAACCTCATCGGTTATCAACGAGAAACCGAATAAATCGTTTAAAAACATTTTTTTAGGCGGATTTATAAAATCAGACCCGAATTTCGGTAAAATAGTATAAATTTGACAGATAAAAACGAAGGCTGAACCGAAAAGTACGGTAAAGTATCAACATTTACGAATTCGGTACGTGAAAACCGAGAAACTCGGTAAACTGAACCGAATATTCGCTAAAACGTGTTAAACGTCAAACGTTCCACTTGCGCTCAACTTCGCGACGGAAAATTTAACCGAAAACTCGGTTCTCTACGAGGTTCTATAAGCTGAGTCTAAAACTATTCAGCCATTTTTTCTCGAGTGTGGACGTGTGTCGGACGTGTGCAAAAATGGAAAAGGTTCTGGAGCAGCTGCAACAGGAGGATGCACGTTTGATTGACATCTTTTGTAAGTATTTGAAACTAATGCTATGATTTTATTTGCAGGAATCTTGTGCTATCGTTTGTTTTTACTGCCGTGAAAATATACAGGGTTATGTCACTGGCTTGCAAAGGCATTTTAAAAACCATTTGCATAAAAATGACTTCAAAGCCAGTGATATTTTTTTTGACTGTGCTTTTCCACGCTGTAACTCGCGTTACGGGAGTTTTTATTCGCTGAAACGGCATATAGTGGAAAAGCATCCGGCAAACTCTCGACGTTCTACCGTGGAAGAAATTTTTGATGATTGTCCTGTGGCAGGACAAGGAACATATGATGATTTATTGTTCCAGAATCAACAGAGCGGTCCTAAACTCGAATCAAGTATAGATTTGGAAGAGTTAATAAAAATAATAAATATTAGCATCTGCCGCATTACATATGATGTAGGTTTACCTTACACAAAAATCAATGATTTTATAAAGCTTTGTGACGAAATAGTTTGGCACGTATCAGGGTACCTTGAGGCAGAAACTGTGAAATTTTTGAGTGCACAAGGATTTGATGTTGACACGAAGGATTCCGTAGCGTTTCTAAATACATTTAGACTATGCAATCTTTTTGACCAGGTCAGATCCTTCAAAAAGCAGACACAGTACTTGAATAAGCTTGCCGTTTCTACACCCAAGCCGAGGGATATTTTGCTTAATCGGAGACAAGATGTACGCCACATCGAATCACTTCCTAAAAAAGTTATGGTAAACGAGACCGCTTCGTACACCAGCATTATTGATTCATTGAAATTCATATTCAGAAGCCCAGAAAATCGGAAACTTTTGAATGAACCGAATCTAGAAACTTCCAGCACGCCTTGTGTAACCGAATACAGCTCATTCAGGACAGGTGAAATTTTCAAAAATAGCGAATTCTTTCAACTGTATCCTAATGCCATCAGGATCAGTGTTTACCAAGACGATGTGGAACTTGGCAACGCATTCGGTTCAAAAGCCGGGATAAATAAAGTTTCTAACTTATGTTTCAAAATACAGAATATTCCTGAGAAGTGGAATTCTTCACCACGTACAGCTTTTCCGCTTCTATTCTGTACTTCAGTAGACATAAAAAAGCATGGATTCACAAAAATTCTGGAGCCTTTCGTCGCTGACCTAAAAAAGTTGGAACAAGGCGTAACGGTTTATTACGGTTCAGAGAAATTCGTCTTAAGAGCTGTTATGACGATTTTCTGCGGCGATACACTTGCGGTTCATGACGTGTTTGGGTTACTTGGACCAAGGGCCAACTATTTTTGCCGAATTTGCCAGATTACAAGGAATCAATTTCATTCAAATCCATCCGAAGAATATCCGTTGCGATCGAAAGAATGGTATGAAGATCAACTTGCTGCAGTACAGGATGGTTTGCTGATACCGAAAGATTGTGGACTGAGTACATCAGGATGTATTTTCAATGAATTAGAGTTCTACCATACCAGTAACAACTTCTGCCTCGACAGCATGCACGACCTTGCTGAAGGGATAGTGCCCCTGACGATCCAACTAGTGCTATCAACTTTATACAAACAAAAACATTTAAAGATAACAGCAAAGTTCATAAACAATCGCATTAACACATTTCCTTTTGGTTACGCTGACCGCTGCAACAAACCTTCACCAAATTTTAAAGACGAAATGCTCGCTAACCCTGCCCAGCATAAAATCAAACAAACATCTGCACAGTCTCTTCTCTTGATAAGAGCTTTCCCGTTCCTTTATGGTCATGTTGTCTCCAAGGATTGTATGCTCATGCGTATGATCGGTCATCTAATTAATATCGTGAGGATAATTTCGTCACCAGTCGTATCTGAACACCTACTTGCACAGCTGGAAGAACATATAACATACTTTGAGAATAGTTTTTTCGAAAACTTTAAGCAGCGTATCAACAAGTTGCATCACTTGCGTCACTACGCTCTCTGCATAAGGAAGAGTGGTTCAATGAAACAATACAATTGCTTTCAATTTGAACAAACGAACAAAATAAGCAAGAATCAAGCGAATACGTGCAAAAACTTTAAGAATATTTGTTCCAGCTTGGGCAAGCGGCAATGTCAGAGAATGATAATGAACGTGCTTGATAAGTCATTCCGCGACAAGCTGACATTCAACTCTGGAACCCTAGCCTTACGTGATGACTGCCTCAGTGAACAATTTCTGTATCCACATCTGCAGTT